AGATTGGATTTATACCCCGCCCTTCACTAACCCAAAGGTGTCTCAGAGCGGCTTACAAAATCCTTTCCCTTCCCCTCCCCACAACAGACCCCCTGTGAGGTAGGTGGGGCAGAGAGAGCTCTTGGCAGAAACGGCTGTTTTTTCAAGAACAGCTCTGACAGAACTATGGCTTACCCAGGGTCATCCAGCAGGTGCGAGTGGAGGAGTGGGGAATCGAACCCGGTTCTCCCAGATTAGAGTCCGCACACTGAACCACTACACCAAAGTGGCTGGTGGAATTAGTCATTACTTTGAACCAACAGAGAATAACAGTGATCCACGCTCGTGCTTTAACAGTAACCATACCTGAGGTAAAGACACGGGGCAATCCTCATTGTGTCGTTCTGAAGAAGGGGAAAGTTTCCCATTCAGAGAGGAAGAGGAGATGCCGGTCGTGCCGCTGCCCATGGAGTTATACACATAAGGAAATGGCGGGTTAGCCAAGTAATTGGGGATAATGGGCAAGGTGGAGTCTCTCTTCACATCCGGAAGATCATCGGCTTCTTCTGCTCCCAGTATCTTCCTGATTTCCCTCTTGGACGTCAACTGGGCCGGTGTTTCTTCTCTAACTGTGAGAATCTCCTTATCGGCTCCGGCACCGAGAAGGTATGACACCACCCGAGCGTGGTTCCGTTTGGAGGCCCAGTGCAGGCAAGTCCAGCCATTGATTTCGTTTTGAGAGTTGACGTCCGCTCCAGCTCCCACCAATCGCTGAACTTCTTCAATGTCCCCCAAAGCAGCAGCTTCCCTCAGTCTCTCCTGAAGCTCTTTTTCCTCTGCTGCTGTGGTCATTTTACAGATTTACCTTCACAGTCAACTTCGGGATTATCAACTAGAAGAGAAGAAGAGATTGGATTTATACCCCGCCCTTCACTACCCAAAGGTGTCTCAGAGCGGCTTACAAACTCCTTCCCCTTCCCCTCCCCACAACAGACACCCTGTGAGGTAAAAGAAGAAGAAGAGATTGGATTTATACCCCGCCCTTTACTACCCAAGGGAGTCTCAGAGCGGCTTACAAACTCCTTCCCCTTCCCCTCCCCACAACAGACACCCTGTGAGGTAAAAGAAGAAGAAGAAGAGATTGGATTTATACCTCGCCCTTCACTACCCAAGGGAGTCTCAGAGCGGCTTACAAACTCCTTTCCCTTCCCCTCCCCACAACAGACACCCTGTGAGGTAAAAGAAGAAGAAGAAGAGATTGGATTTATACCCCGCCCTTTACTACCCAAGGGAGTCTCAGAGCGGCTTACAAACTCCTTTCCCTTCCCCTCCCCACAACAGACACCCTGTGAGGTAAAAGAAGAAGAAGAAGAGATTGGATTTATACCTCGCCCTTCACTACCCAAAGGTGTCTCAGAGCGGCTTACAAACTCCTTCCCATTCCCCTGCCCACAACAGACACCCTGTGAGGTAAAAGAAGAAGAAGAAGAGATTGGATTTATACCCAGCCCTTCACTACCCAAGGGAGTCTCAGAGCAGCTGACAAACTCCTTTCCCTTCCCCTCCCCACAACAGACACCCTGTGAGGTAAAAGAAGAAGAGATTGGATCTATACCCCCCCCTTCACTACCCAAGGGAGTCTCAGAGCGGCTTACAAACTCCTTTCCCTTCCCCTCCCCACAACAGACACCCTGTGAGGGAGGTGGGGCTGAGAGAGCTCTTGACAGAAACTGCCCTTGAGAGAACAGCTCTGAGAGAACTGTGACTGACCCAAGAAGAAGGAGAAGGAGGAGAAGGAGAAGAAGAAGAGGAGGAGGAGGAGGAGGAGATTAGATTTACACCCTGCCCTTCATTACCTGAAGGAGCCTCAGAGCGGCTTACAGACTCCTTTTCCCTCCCCCTCCCCACAACAGACACCCTGAGAGGGAGGAGGGACTGAGAGAGCTCTGACAGAAACGGCTCTTTTTCAAGGACAGCTCTTATCAGAGCTATGGCTTGCCCAAGGTCATCCAGCCAGGTGTGAGTGGAGGAGTGGGGAATCAAACCCGCTTCTCCCAGATTAGAGTCCGCGCACTTCACCACTACACCAAACTGTTACGGAGGCTGGATCGTTTTCTAAAGCTTGTCCACTGGAGACTGGCAGAACCCAACCAATCCCGAAAGAAAAGTCCCACCGTGTCGTCCTTTCAAACGCCAATATTCCTCACTTTTGGCTATTGTCGTGAATCAAATGCACTTTCACATTTCCGAACGCCATTTTCCGTAATTGCATAGTTGTGCTATGTCTAGATGGTCGCTGTTCCCGTCTTCTCAGGGGGACTCTATTTTCTATTTTTAATAAAGATAAAGGGAGATACCATGGTCTTTAATAACTGCAGTGGAGTACAGTGTTCCCTCTAAGCTGAGTTAGTGTGAGCTAGCTCACAGTTTTTTAGCCTCCGGCTCACACATTTTTGTCTTCGCTGAGGAAGGAGGGCTCCAGAGCAAACTAATTTATTCAGTAGCCAAATCGCTCGCTCACAACTTTAATGCCAGGAGCTCAGAAAGTAGAATTTTTGCTCACAAGACTTCACAGCTTAGTGGGAGCATTCGTGGAGTGTTGTGGTATACGGATGAATTTCCACAATTTCCTGGTGTCATTACATCTTCCACAACGGGATCAGAGCCAAATGAACAAGCCTCATAAATCCTGTAACATTCTGTATAAAAGGGCATAACGTGAGACCTCTCTGGAGCAATGCGTCTTGACACTTCCAAAGGCTTTCATTGGTTTCTTGAGGCCCCCAGCTAGGAACGGAAGAGGGTGTGAAAATATACTTCAAATGCAAATGATGCATACAGCAAAAGACCTATATTGGTCTCAGGGTTTAATCCTAAAGCAGTATCTAATAGTGCTCTGAATTTTTTGAATACGTATCCCAAGCAATTTCCAAATATTTAGAGAGAAGCATACCTAGAGGGCAAAGAAATTCCGCTCAGTTTGAGTGTGCATTATGTCAAATTGTGCACGTATTATATCGGTTTCGGCCCAAGATTTCTGTGAAAGCTCTTCTACCCACATGCCCCCTTTTGCTTGCTGAAATCTATTCCGCATAAGTTGTTGATGTTCTGTACTGGAACAGTAGCAACCTATAACCGGGTCTTTTCTGTTATGGCCCCTTGGCTATGGAATCAGGCTTCTTCAGATCCTCACAATCTAGCTCCTGATTGAGTATAAGATTGACTTTACTGACTCATCCATTTCTGCAAACCTCTGATATTTAACTCTGCTGGTTGCTGCTTACAGATTAGAATAGATAGTGGGTAGCTTTTAGATTCGGTTTTAACGCATTTTTGAAAAATCTTTTGCTTGGTGAAAAAAAGTAGGCATTTCCTAAATGATAGTAATGTCGTCTTTTTATTATGTATTTACAGAGTTGCGAATTTTTGGAACAGAATTTCAAACTGCTCACTGAATTTTCTTTACTTTAAATGTTTTTGTGCCACCTTTGTACCCAATCAGGGCCCACAAGACGGCAAACGTAAAAACATTTAAATGTTCCAACAATTAGAAATACAGTTAAAAGGAGGAGGAGGAGGAGGAGGAGGAGATTGGATTTATACCCCGCCCTTCACTTGGAGTCTCAAAGTGACTTACAATCTTCTTCCCTTCCCCTCCCCACAACAGACACCCTGTGAGGTAGGTGGGGCTGAGAGAGCTCTTTCGAGGACTGCTCCTGAGAGAACAGCTCTGAGAGAACTTGTAACTGACCCAAGGTCACACCAGCAGCTGCCTGTGGAAGAGTGGGGAATCAAACCCGGTTCTCCCGGATTAGAGTCCACGCTCCTAACCGCTATGCCAGACTGGCAGGGCTTCTGTTTGGCTGTGCTGATTTTTATGTTGTTTTAGCAGCAATGGCACCCACAACACAAGGATCTTCACTATGTTATTGAAGGAAAGCTGTGTGTATGCATGAAAATATTTTTAAACAATATGGTCATTTTAAAAAAGTCATCCTGTTGAATGCAGCTTCTGCCCGAACTATTGGCAGGCATTTATAGAACAGAAATTACACAAAGCTTTCCAACTATCTCCCATCTTAATTAACTGTAGGTATGAATAAACAGACACAGCAAACAGAAAGTCAGCACATAAGTATCATAAAAATAACATTTTTAAAACATTCCCTGATTGTATCACTTACGTAGCTACTCCCAAAGGCCACTGGAAGATATCTTCTTTGTTCACCAAGGGACTGTCATATATTAAGAAAAGCGATTCCACAAACCCTCCGTAGCTTTTTAAGTAAGGGTAAATCCATCCATTTTGGCCCTGTTTTCTTCCAAGCAACACAACTGCAAGGTGCTGCAACTTGCAAGTTTGTATTAATGTCTGTGCATAATGCTGCCACTGAGTGGCGTACGAGATCTTTCCTTCCTCTCACCCATTCAGCACTGAAACCACACTGGCAGATTCTGCAGATGGACCAGTGATGAAGCTGTGAAAGACAAAAGTACAGCCACAGTTATAAAAATACACCAGAACAGAACAGCAAGGCATTTCATATAAACACAGACGTTGCTCGACTGTTGTTCTTTCGCTTGAGCTCCGGGGTTGTGCTCGACTTCTTGCTCTCTGAAACACAAAAGCATTGTGTTTCTCCAGCAGATATGGAGTCTGCCAATGTCCATTCTTTCCTGCCAACCTAGCAGTTCGAAAGCAAGAAATTGCAGGTAGATAAATAGTTACCACTTCGGTGGGAAGGTAACAGCATTCTGTGCCCCTTGGTGTTTAGTCATGCTGGCCACATGACCACGGCAACGTCTTTGGACAGCGCTGGCTCTTCGGCTTTGAAACGGAGATGAGCACCGGATTCGACTGGCTTTCGAGCAAGGGAACCTTTACCTGTACTAATGTCCATTCTTAATGGCCTAATCCTAAAATTTGCCATGCAGGCATAAATGCACGGGGGGAGGGTGTGTGTGGATATCCACCAGCTGCTGCACGGGCACATACCGCACCATCCATGTTCCCTCTAAGCTGAGTTAGTGTGAGCTAGCTCAGCTTTTTAGCCTCCGGCTCACACATTTTTGTCTTCGCTCAGGAAGGACGGCGCCAGAGCAAATTAATTTATGCAGTAGCCAAATCGCTCGCTCACAACTTGAATGCCGGTTAACTCACAAAATAGATTTTTTTGCTCACAAGACTTCACAGCTTAGAGGGAGCATTGCCTGTGAGGTCGGTGGGGCTGAGAGAGCTCTCTCCAGAACTGCCCTTGAGTGAACAGCTCTGAGACAACTTGTGATCAGTCATACCAGCAACTGCATGTGGCGGAGCTTTTGCTCGCAAGACTCCACAGCTTAGAGGGAGCATTGCCTGTGAGGTCGGTGGGGCTGAGAGAGCTCTCTCCAGAACTGCCCTTGAGAGAACAGCTCTGAGGGAACTTGTGACTGACCCAAGGTCACACCAGCAGCTGCACTTGGTGGAGCTTTTGCTCACAAGACTCTACAGCTTAGAGGGAGCACTGCACACCTTACTGCAGGCTAAGCACTCTGGGGAGAACTGCCCACAATTGCCTCCCTCCTTGCCTAGCTCAGGAAAGATGGCTCCAGAGCAAACTGATATATGCAACAGCCAAATCGCTGGCTCACAACTTCAATGCCAGTAGCTCACAGAGTAGAATTTTTGCTCACAAGACTCTACAGCTTAGAGGGAGCATTGCCTGTGAGGTCGGTGGGGCTGAGAGAGCTCTCTCGAGAACTGCCCTTGAGAGAACAGCTCTGAGACAACTTGTGACTGACCCAAGGTCATACCAGCAACTGCATACGGCGGAGCTTTTGCTCGCAAGACTCCACAGCTTAGAGGGAGCATTGCTACCAGGATGGCTGAGGGCAAGGCTACACTTTTCTTGGGCTGAGCCTTCTCCTGAGGAAGAAGAGGTGCAGCACGACTTTCAGCCACGTGGTGTTACACTTGGGCCTCGCTCAGGAGACTCCATAGGTCAGTGATGGCGAGCCTTTTAGAGACCGAGTGCCCAAACGGCGACCCAAAACCCACTTATTTATTGCAAAGTGCCAACATGGCAATCTAACCTGAATACTGAGGTTTTACTGTAGAAAAAACAACCCATACATTAACTTAAGATGATCCAAACAAAGTAAGGAAAGCAATCCCAAATGCCTTCATTGACTTAAAATTATTTGGCAGAGGATTCGACACTTTAATGATGGTCTGGGCCTGGCTGGGGCGATGGCACGCATGCCCGCAGAGAGGGCTCTGAGTGCCACATCTGGCACCCGTGCCATAGGTTCACCACCACTGCCATAGGTCTTGCTCAACACAGTTCTCGGAACTTGTGTGCCACTTCTAAGGTGCGCCCCACTCCAAGTCGTTCCAGTACTGAAGGGATATAATCAGGGGTCATTTCCTGCAGGAGCGCACAGGAGTGGAGCTCCGGCAGTAAAGAGTCCAGGGGGCGGGCACATGCAACAAGCCCCGCCCCCTGCTCCCAGCAGCCCTCAGTCAGAGCGAGAAGCAGCCAGGTATATTGCAAAGCTCCCCCTGACCCCCTGGTCCAAAACAGTCCAGTGGCAACTTTAAGACCAAGTTTTATTCAGGTACAAGCTCTCCCTCCTCTGCGAGGACAAATTTGCACATTTCCCCCCTCCCCAATAGCTAGCAATCCAAAACAGTCCAGTGGAGCCTGAGCGGTGGGTGTTGCCTTCTGACACACTTCCGGTGATGTCAGGGGTGTGTGGCACATGCAAATAAATTATGCTAATAACTTATGCTAATGAGCTCCTGCACCTCTTTTTCTACGAAATGACCCCTGGATATAATCCTGGGGACACCGATGCCTTTGGGCACTTGTCAGCAATGCAGGCCTGAGGGATGGTGACCAGCTAGGCCTAGAAGTCGAGTCTCGCATACAGCAATGGGCCTTCACATGAAACCCGTGCTTGCTGAAACCGTAAGCGAAAATATTTAAGAAGGGGCACTCATATTATTGAGTGCGAATGCGTACCAGTAGCAGCTTTCTTTCCCCCAGATTTGTACTCTTGAGGTCTGTTTCTCTGCTCCTCTTGCAGTTTCTTCCCTTTGAAAAGCCGCAGGCTGTTTGCGGAATCCTGCTGCAAACGGTTTTTCTCACCGGCTTCCCAAAGGTCCCAGCCTTCCCCTTCCAAAATAAAGTGCCCTGGGTATCAAAGATACAGAGTTCTTTGCATGGGTTCCTTTTTTGTTTTCTTTTCAAAAACAAATTATTAGGATATACTATTAGTTCAAACATACAAAATACTATTTTGTTATACATCCTTTCTTCCTTTTCCTCTCCCCCCCTGGCTTCCCACAGTGCTCCAACCTCCAGCCCAATCTTTAGCCATTTCCCCTTTTCCATAACTTCTAATCTTAGTCTATCGGTAACGTTTCTTTCTATTAATATTTTCTCTTAATTAACTTCCATCTAATAACATCAACTTTTCAATAATTGTCAAAGCAAATTAAATTGTCCTTTACATCCCAATATTTTTCTAAGTACTCTTTAAAATCCTTCCAATCTGCATAGAATTCTTCTGCTTCAAGGTTCTTAAGTTTCCTTGTCATTTTGTCCATTTCAACCATAAATATTAGTTATTTATCCATTCCTCAGTTTCCGGAATTCTGTCTTGTTTCCAACACTGTGCATAAGTCATTCTAGCAGTTGTGATCATGTACCACATCAATGTTCTTTTCTGCACATTCACTTCTTCCATTTTAAGCCCCAACAGCAATATTTCAGGTTCCTTTTTGAAATTACGTTTTACAATTTTTTCCATTTCTTTATTTATCTCAGCCCAATAACTTCTTGCCTTTTCACAAGTCCACCACATATGGTAAAAGGAGCCTTCCATTTTTTTACATTTCCAGTTCTTTGCGTGGGTTTCTGTGATACACTAGAGAAACCTAAACGTTCCAGATTACAGACCCACAGTGCATACCTGCTAACATTGTTCATACTACTACTTCTAAAAACACATACCAAGAAGCCAGGGAATCAAACCCTGTTCTCCCAGATTAGAGTCAGCGCTCCTAACAACGACACCAAACCTGGCTCCTCTTACCCATGCCTTATTTCACCTCACCTCTCCTACAAAAGATGTCAGAGAAGTAAAAGATGCCAGGTTTGTGTCTGCATCAAAGAAATCAAGGTGACAATGAACTTAGGTGTTTTGAATCAACATTAGAAACTAGGAGAGAACTCTTTTGGTGGAAACACTGAGCTTTTCCCAAGCTTTCATACAGAGGCTTGGAAAAATAAAACAGGTTTTGTGTGTAGATCAAGGTGGTGTGTGTGTGTGTGGAGAACTTTGAACATCAACCTGGGTACAACTGGAGGTCATCTACACACATACAGACTGACAAGACCCTTTAAATTTTATTAAGAAGAAGAAGAAGAGATTGGATTTATACCCCGCCCTTCACTACCCAAGGGAGTCTCAGAGCGGCTTACAAACTCCTTTCCCTTCCCCTCCCCACAACAGACACCCTGTGA